AATTATTGTAGTCACATGATGTATTTACTTACTTTTTGAGGAGTTCATAACCATCCTAGACACCTAATATTAAAAAGTTAAAAAAAAACACAACTGTGTATATTTTCGTCCTTGTTTGTCTTTTCGAAGGGTGAGAGCTGTTGACTTTGGAATTGATGCTCCAAATATGTATATTGTTCTGATCGAAAGAAAATTGTATTAATAGAACTGATTGGAAGATTTCACAGATAAAAATGATTGACAATTAAATGAACTCATTCACTAAGTATGAGGGGTGATGATACTTTCTGATTATCTAAACTGAAGTAGATGGAGCACGTGGTTCGAACCTGGGACTTTGTGACTGAAGGTGAAACACTTAAAGAAATAACTAACCACTCCACAATAAAAATGATGAATGACAGTCAGTTAGGATTTTAAAAGTTATCTATGTGTTTAACTTATATTCTGTTCCGTACTGACTATTTGCTTTCTATACTACATTGTTTAATTATCATAGATCCAATTACTGAACGTAATGCAACTTATTCATCATCACCACAGACCCGTCAGTTTGGCTGTACTGGAAAATCTGATGGCGGCGATGATAATAATGACATTACTGCTCCATATGATGATAACCATATGAACAAAGGCTATTGTTATGATGATGATGGTGAGCCACCTATACTTCCTGCTTCTCGTATTGACTCTGTAACTAGTTTGAAGCGTTGGCATGATACTGAACTTGGTGAAGTTAGGCCAACCTCTGAAGACTTGAATAATAAGCAATTCAATATACTTGCTAATGAAGAAAATCATGAAACTTCCAAATCTTTTTCAGTTACGACGACTTCCAGTAGCAGTCGACCAAAACGCCCAGTTAATGTAAACAAATTAGAAGCGGATAGGGTAAATCAATCTGTTTTTATTTTCAATTCATTCATATATGAACTTCGAGTAAACATTTTGTCTACAAGTGATGATCATGTGTTTTTTTCATTAGCAAAATTGTTTTCTTTAAATCTTAAGTAAACTCAACTTAGTTTTTACTTCTCTTATAGTTTGTTTTTATAAGTGAATGTGTTTTTGTACTTATGAGACACGAAAGGAATAAACATTAGTACTAAGCTACTTCTTCAAACGTCACTTGTGTCCATTACACCCTGAGGTCCGTGAAAATAAAAAGTATTCATTTCATGTGATGTGTATATCTGTTTTTATATGTTTTATAATTCTGGGTTGAGAGGAAAAACTTAAAATCATCGTTTCACTCATCTGTGAAGTCCTCTTAGTTAACCCCTTCCCTAATATGTGGTTATATATAATAAATGTGACCTACCATTTACTCATCGGTCTGTTTATGGTTTTTGAGGTTCGTAAACCGGTATGTCTGTTCATTTGTTTTCCTGATATCTTCCATATAATCGTAAAGGTCCTGAATCCGTATTTGTGCGCTGTTATGTTCTGAGGTTGTTTGATTTAGATAAAGAATTATACGCGAGCGCGAATTTTTACGCGAACAAGAGGACTAAACATGAACAAGTAGCTGTGATTGGCAACCGTATAGTATTGTACACAAATTATATATATATATATATAAGCTAAGAACTTGACAATGTGCAATAGTTCAATAGTGTCCCTCGTTTTTCATCTCTCACCTTGCGACTACTTGTGAACATAGACACTTTATGTCTGGTTTCGCTCACTCTATCATACACTTTGACAAAACAGCTGTTAAGTACTATCTAATTCCGAATAAGTTTCCGGTTTATGCCAGTTTGTGATGAAAGTCACTGTCATATTGTAAAACATAGTCACGAAATTGCTCCCCTTATAAGTTCTTGTTAATTTCGTCTTATTGTGTGATAATAGCAAACTAGGCTAACATATTTCTGTACCACGTCTTACGTTGATTGTAAGTGAATTGCCTCATAGTAATCATTTTATTGCGAGTAACCAACTTTGCAAGGGATTTATTAAGGTTCTAAGTGCGGAGTCTTGACTTGTAAATTTTGGTGTCATGTGGTAATGAAAACAATATTGTACCTAGGTTTCTTGTTAGTTGGAACTTGTCATTGAGGAATACTTGCAATCTTTAGTGCACTGATACTCCCTGTGGCGTTTGAACTCGTTTCACCTTCCTTTGCAATCGGAGACGTTACCATCAGATTATTTTGGCCAACGCTGATCTATCGTGGAACTGAGATTTTTACATTGATTAGTGATCAATATCATGCTTGTCCTACTCCGTATTGGTAATTGTATTCTGTTCTAGTTCTATTTTATATTCACGTTTCATCAATATACTTCTCTTGATTCGATAATGACTATTCTTCTTAATCACTTTTGATATTTAGAAACGTTTAGAAGAGGAAGCAATTAAATATAGACAATTAAAAGCTGAAAGAAAACATCAACAACAACGGAAAGAACAATCTTCGAACGATTCAACGGGAATTGAATAAACGTTAAGTAAAATTATATCTTTAATTGTTTTGTCTCAGTTTTTGTTGCATCTTGTACAATATATGCAATACACATTAGTGTATTTTTGTATTAGATTGTATTCATTTAATTCATTCGTGTATGTGTAAAAAGTTTTACTGCTTACAGATGGACAAATTACTTTTGTTATTTAAACATCATTTCTCAGTTTTTATACAATTTCGGGATATACATCAACGTAAACATATTGTGGTCATTTAGTACCATTCAACTGACTGATACAAATCCTGTATGTATAAAAAAGTGCTTTTTCCTTAAATCCTCAGTCTTTATAATGCGGTGAACCACCGTTTTGTACAGTTTTATAAAGAAAAATATATCAGTAAAAAAAAGACTTTCTGTTACTTGTTCATTATCAGTCTTGTTTTTTTATAAATTATTCAACCGTTTTATAGTTTTAATCAATTATCCAAAAGCTACCTCACTAATATCAATGATCAAACATTCCAAGTTCAAATGTCGGTGATTTTATTCTCTGTTGAATAGTAATTTTTAAGAAAACATTAACCATCGTCGATTTATTTTTATTCATTCTACGTGATATTCTATTCATACAAGCTACATTTCAACACCATATGCTAAAAACAACATTACTATTCTTGTTAGAACGGTATTATGAATAAAAAGAAGCATAATTTTGAATAATACAAACAGTTTAACCCTGTACTCATCAACACAGTGATTTCATTCCATGAAGTCATTGATTATGTTAAATGGTTTAAATAAACCGGGTTTAAAACATGTATTCGATTTGATGAAAAGTTAATAGATTCGAAAATTTAACCACCACTTATCAAGAATATATCGATAACATTTTCTTCATGTTTTGTTTTTTTATTTACTGTATGATGTCAGCCTCTTGATGAATGGGTCTAGATATGAATTTCTACATTTTTTATTTAAGATGTTTGTAGTTATTTTCAGAGTAATGTAATTAACTACGTAGTCGTGATGGAGTACTAACCTATTTGTTTGCATTTCTCTTAAAGATGTATTATGTAATGATATGAAATTAAGAATTGTTATCTATCAAACATACACTGAACAGTAATTGGAATACCTTCGTACTTTGTAATAATTATTTATAATCTATATAGTTATAACATAGTTAAAATCACTTTGCTAACCAATGGAATAAAATTTTATAAGAAAGGCTAATGTCTGTCGAAGTACTTCAAAAAGCACTTGGAATATATGACTGAGTCATTTTCACTTTATTATATAAGTCAAGGACTAATCAAACAACCACTGAAGACTAATACAACGAACTTTTTCTCGCTCAAGTATACTACGATGATAAGACTAGTTGCGTTATATCACATCTAGGATCCACGACCCAGAATAATTAACCATATTAACACTAGTTAGTTCTTTATTCAACACAGTTACAAGCAGTCGTATTCGGTGAGTCCGTCATGGAAATCAATGGGGAAATGGAATCACTTATTTAACAGTCAGTAGGCTAAGTGCCCGTTTGTCCACTCTCAGTGATCATATTTTACTCTCACTACCACACATCAAAAACCAAGAGACACTAGATCAATGTTTCGCCTCAGTATGGGACTTATCATCAATGTTGACCCACTACCCAGCCAAATATTGAGTCCATGACCTTCAGGTCTCACGGCTAGTGGCTATCCATCTGAACAATTTTTTCAGACTCCCGTCGGTAGCATTTCAGTTTGTTTATTTTCTCATCTTACGTACAATTTAGCAAGTTGAAAACAATACTATAAAATAAAAATGCAACACAGTAAAACATATCTTGTTCTACACAAAATGACTACTTGTGATTTGTTGTAAGATTATTTCCAAATCTCAGATTAATACGTTGGGGAATTAAATGTTAGTGTCAGAAACTATAGATAATCAGTTCAAGTCTCAGTGTGAACAGTAGCAGTGAAATCTTAGTACGTTCAACCAACAAGCCCTAAGTAGTAGAAAATATGTACTTAGAATTTCACCACTAACCACAGTTCAAATATACTAATAACTAAACATAACTGATTGAGAAGAAAAATTGAAAACTAAGAAAATCCCTCAGTTGATGCTATTATTGATTCTAGTCGCTGTAAACATCTTGCACAATTGTCTTTGAAAGCCTTTTCGCGTATTATTAAAAAGTATTTGCAAATTGAGTCGTCTTCTGTTGTGTAAGATTTAACTACTCAGCATTCACCTATACTAGTATTAGAACAATTAAAGAGCTATGTTGGATATTGCATTTGTTTGTAGTTCCATTGTTTATATTAGGTTAGGCTGCCTGTCAAAATTGTTCAATTCGAAGATAATTTACGTAACATTTATCCTAACTTGAAAACTAGTGAGCATGTGTTTCACTCTAGTTTTAATCCCTTCAGTAGTATATCCCTATAGTCCCAACAAGTCAGAAGACAAGGATCTGTATGTCACATCGTTTCATCATATTGTGGTACCACTGTTCAGTATCATCGATAATATCTATCCTAATGGGTTGAACCTCAATTACCACATCTTCTCATTAAAAACCCACCTTCATACTGATGGTTCAAATTTATTGTATTATCTTTCTTTTCAAAATTGGATACAAATTTGCATAGATGGATATTCTATTTACCAGTTTTCATTTAGGTAATCAAATTATAGAAGATTGTCATACAATAAACAAGAAATTCTTGTAGTTCAGTAATATGGACTTTTATTCACAATATTTGAGCATTAGTATCAAAGTAATTTTTATTGAAATATATGTACTAGTGTCAGTGAAAATAGTGACTTGTAAAAAAGATTTCAATTACTATTGTTGTTTATTGTTTATCAACTAATCATGACTTTATTAAAGAAGGCAATGACATTTGATTAGGATTTCTTTCTCAACCGATCTGATCGTCTTTCACTGTCTTGTGAATTCCTCATGTTTGAAAATCTAATCGATGAGATCTGTTGAGAACATCGAAAAAAAGAAAGTACTGGGATAAAGGAAGGAGAAATAAAATTATGAGTATGAAGTTTGTTAAAGCTATATACATGTCAGTTTTACTTTGCCATTTAATAAATGGATAATATCATCAAGGAAATAACAGATCTTCGATCAATGAGGATGTTTATAAAATTGAATATTACACACCAATAAAGAGTGATTATAAGTGATATTTCAATGAAATAGTCTTCCAGTATCACTGACATTTAAATTCATCAACTTGTAAATGATTTATTGTTAACAAAGCTTATTTTCACAGTTGAAATCATGGGACAATTGAAGCTAGACCACCATCGAAAACCTGGAAGCACTGGACGGCCGTTTCGTCCTATTGCGGGACTCCTCAACAGTGCGCGCCCACGATCCCGTGCCCGCGAGATTCGAACCCAGGACCTACCAGTCTCGAGCCAGAGCACTTAGCCGATAGACCACTGAGCCGGCATGCAACGGTGTTACTTGTTAGCGAGTATTTTTGATTAGGTCGGTAGTTCTCAGATCTAGGCATAGTTTGATTGCCAAATATAATCACAAAAACATTTCATGAATTGAGTAATATTTTTTAGTGAGAAAATATCTGATGTTATTTTTATATATCTAAACATGATCATTTGAAATTAATCAAAGAGGAGAAATGATATAGGTATAGCGAAAAAAATAATGATCTCAAGCAGAACAGAAGGACAAACGTTTCTTGTATGTGTTCATTTCTTTTAAAAGAATGCAGTTAATCAAACTAAGAACAAAAATTATCTGCTCTGCACACAGAGAATCTATTGCTTTTCATCTTACAATTTTTTATCAACTCTCTGGTAAACTTCTAAGCAAACGATAACCACCAAATATAACGAAGAGTTGTGAAGATCTTTCAGTTTATGCCATCGACTGACTTTAACTTGGCAATCGGGATAATTGAGTAACATCCGATCTCGTATGTGACTCCTCAGTAGTGGGCAGTGAGGACCCTCACAGAGACTAGACCCAAAACCTTGAGGGCTTTTAGGAGACGCGTCAGTTTTAGACCAGTAGTTCTTATTTCGAGGGTCGTTAGGCAAATACCACAAATTACACGTCCTATGCCGGACATAGCTGAGTTTTATTGGCAATGGCTTCTCATCAAAACTCCAAGAATTCTCGAAATCAATCCGTAAGGAGCACATGGTTGCCACTAATATAGGAAACTTGTGCAGATCCGTCGAATTCGACGCTAGGAGTGTTATCACAGTGATCATTGAAAACGAGAGGGTATCGGGAAGTCGTTTTATCTTATTTATATACCTCTCAATAATGCTGCTATTTCGTTAAGTCTTTTTACCGCTAGGGGTTCTATCACAAGTAGGTGTTTAGAAATGACTGGTTCAATTATAAACTCATGAGTTGAAGCTAGTTTTACGTTTGTAGCTTCATTTCAAGTTAGCGTTTGGTGTAACACATGTTTCTGAAAAGAAACTTTTAGTTTGTTATGGTTTGAATTATCTTGTTCATATTCATGATTTGTTAGCAATCGAATCGTTTTGTGTGGATCGGGCAGATATAGCCATTATGCCATGAATTTTATAGAATAGACAGATTGTGACTAACAGTAGAATCCAGGACACACATTCCTTCCTATTTGAGACTGATTATAATTTTCTCAAGAACATCAATAAGCACAACAAATTAAGACGAATTCCTACTCGTTTCACAAGTTAGTGGCCATCTAGATTAAGCAGCCCAATAGATAACTCACTGAGCAATCGCATAGAAACTTAATGGGTTCTAGTTCAGGCGTGAACATCAACACAAGGATGTGGGTACACCCATATGACATGTCCCAGTTCGGATGGGACGTGCATCCTTTTATTTCATTTCAAGTAACAGTCTATCTATTAGTTAAACGTATTGTCTACGTTCTTTAGTGTTTAATAAAATATGAGAATAAGATATTTATAAAAGATATGTTTTGTGAGATAAAAGGTATCTGTTCATCCATTTAATATAAAGTATCAAACAAATTACTCTTAAACTAAAGTTAAATGTATGAATAACTCACTATTTTCATTTACTACATAAACTTACCAGTAAATTTACAAATCGTAAAATTTAGGCAACCAAATTTCCTTACAATCTGATAATTTTTTGATTTGTTTAATTTCACATTTTTCTTGATCATCTTTAATATCAATGTTTTGTTGACTGTCGGCATAATATTTACTAACGTCAGATAACTTGTCATCAGTACAGATTTGGTGCACACTTGATAAATCATCATTTGTTGTTTTCGTTTTAAATGAAGTAAGACAATCCTTCTGTTTCATACTTCGATAATTATTCTCATCGTGTTCGCTACATTGATCAATATTAAAATTATTTTTATATACATTCTTAGTAACATTCATCGTAATTGTAGTCGACGTTGGTGTTACAGGTTTATCTGCCTTCTCAGTACAAGTACTAAACTGTTTGACTAGACAGCTGTCCAAATGCAAACACTTTACATAACACTTGAAATCAAATTTTTCATTAGTATTGTCAGGACAATTTTCTCGATCAACATTAATACTGTTATTATTATTATCATCATCTTTATAACTATTTTTATTACTACTAATAGTACTACTTTCAGTGGATTGATGATGGGATATAAAATGTTCAAGTAACCTTGTCCAAAGGTTCGGCCGATGATTTATTGAATTCGTTGCTTTGACTAGTTGTTCTGTTTCACTGAACTGTTTCTCTTCAATTTGATTATTATTCGTTTGTTGCTGTTGTTGTCGTCTCAATTGATGCTGATTTTCTTCTATTTTATTTGTTAACTTCTCATCATTTATGGATAGAGTACTATTAACTTTTTTATCTACAATTGTCTGTTTATCACTACTGTTGTTATTACCAGTAGTATTTACAAATTTCATTTTATTTGGTAATAATGAATTGATAAATCGATAAATTGATCGATCCCTTTGAAATAGCTCTCTATTTATTGATAAGGTATGACTTTTATTTCTACTTGGTTTACTATTCACATCACTAACTAATCCCATTGGTAAATAATGTTCAGAATTATTATTATTTACATAGAGTACAACATACTGTCTGGAATCAGAATAATAACGTTGAAGTAAACGTAATCGACGTTGTGTTAATTCTAATAAACGAGTATGCCCTAGTTCATTTTGTTGATTACTGTAGTGATTTGGCATTGGTGCATATGCATACCATGCTTCTACATTACCTTTGTTAACTAGAAATACTGCAAGTAAGTGATATTGTGATGTATAAGTGTATATATTTGACTTTGTTTTTTGTTTAGATTTTGATAAATGCTTTGATACACGTTGATCAAATTTCTCTTTTATTCGCAATGCTATATCATTTGATAAACTTCTTGATTCTTTTGGTTCATTCGAATAACACATTTCTTTACCATTATTATTATTAGAAAATGTTGTACCAGAAGAAGTAGTAATATTGATAGTAGTGTTATTATTATTGTTTAAAATATTTTTAGTTAGCGGGTGAGGTGCATAAAGTAGATCAAGGGATGTCTGAGCAGTTTGAATTTCTGGAATTGATTTCTTTCGTAGATCATCAACCCATTCACGTTCTGTAACTGTAGTATTCGGTCCTAGACTACTGCTACAAACAAATGATGAGTCACGTTTTAGAAAATGAAACTGATTATTATTCAATGGTAATGAACCATTCAATGAACGAAAATCTAGCTGTTGTTTTTGGGATATATTTGCCATTGCTGATAATTGTGGTACGGATTGTGGTTGATTTACAAGAGTTTTGCGGGTTTTATTTTTTAATGAGGCTCCAGACCAATGAGTTCCTGTCATTATACTATCTGGCCCATAAGCTGTAGCTGTATGGCTACGACCACCCCGTTTTTTGGTGTAACCTGCAGAGGACTCAATGTACATTTGGGTTGGACGCTAAAAAAGATAGATGAATATTTTACAGTAGAAAAATAATTAAATAATCCGTTAGAGTAAAAACAGTGATAATAATTATGATATGTGAGCCAACATGATCAATTAATAATATTATTACTTATGTAGCGTTCACTAAGGACTGACTTTAGCTAGACCATCAGTGAAAAACACGAAACAGTAAATACCAATCTTGTCCTATTATGAAACTCTCCAATATAATTTACCCAAGAATCTACAGATAATCTCCGACAACTTTAGTTTGTTAAATCAGTACATCAGTTTTAGATCACTGAGTTGACGCCTAATGGTTCACATTATTTAACTTCAGTCTTTTGATACTACTGCACTACCTTTACCCGTCGCCAATAGAAATGGTTATCACTTGTCCGACATATCTAAACACGCTGATTACACACTGTCATTAGAGCTTTGAGAATACTCATCGACCTATGTGGCTGATGACTGCAACGCTTTTATTTATGCAGGAAGTTTATGCATTATGCCCTCTTTGTAGTTTACATCAATGCGTGACTTTAGCTACACGGCAATTAAAAATGAAGAAGGACTAGACATCTTTTTCCACTTCACATGCATTCTACTAATTTATGATTGCTGGGCTCTTCACACCATTCATTTGATTTATGATAATCAGTTTGGTCTGTTTGTCTGTTATGGTAATGACCATGGAATGAAGTAATTCGAAATCAGATTTAAGGCAAGATTAAGAATAATACGTTAATCCCTCATCTATTCCATAAGTTTACAGAAGTACCTCATTTTCTACTTTAAACAAAGTTCGGAACAAAATAACAACATTGTATCATAACAGAACTGGCGATAGATTATTCCTAAAAATATATTGTATAACTGTTATTCAACGTCTACTTAGATGAAATAATGAAATGTTCAGGAAAATAGGAGAGAAATAATGTGAATTGTTCTGCGTACTTATGAGTAGTTCATTTGTTACTTTGTCATATTTTAACATTTTAAGAATATTGCGAAGTAAAATGTCCATTGGAAGATGTGTGCCTATCTTTCTTCGTTATTTTTCTAGGTGAGCCTATGATATTAATTATAACATGTAATTAGCTTGTCATGTTTCGGCTAATATGACTGATGCATATGCAAAATCCTGGTTAAAGACTGTTAACTCTGAAAAACTGCATCATTTAATAAACTTACTGTTATATCCCGAAGTGATTTATGGGTGGTAACTTTTGAGGACTATTTATGGACCAATATGATACCTATATTTTTATTCTATAATTGTTAAGTAACTAAGCTATTCGTATTTGTGTTCCTCTTATTATAAGCTTTATTTTGACCTATAGACTATTATTATATGACTTACCATTCTTGAGTTATGTCCAGTCTATCAATTACTGTCTCCCACATTCACAGCTACATTTGACTAAAGCTTGTACAAATGTTATTTTCTATTCTATGTTACGATGTGGTGTGTTTGGTTTGTATATAAACCCAGTATGTTTGAAATATACGATTCATATTGCAGAGGCTGTTATTGGCGTTCTGGACTTAACAGATAGGGTTAGGCAGGAAGCAGGATTGATAAGTACTCAAGACTGCCCGTACGGGTTCTACGCGTCATTGGTCCGGTTGATAATTCTAATTTGTGGTATCGTCACGTTATATATTATTAGGGCTACAAACCTACAAGATATAACAGTTACCGAACATTGGTCTGAGCCATATATAAGTATGAAAGCCTTCTGGTTGTGATCCATCGTGAAATAATCATAATCGACGGTGGAATAAGAAGTCTTAGAATCAGCTCCAATAGTATAGTAGTAAACGTGGACCGATGCAGAGTTTTATACAATGCCCTACTTCATTAATATCTGACTGACCGGAGAAGGGAATTGATAATCAAACAAACGTAATGAAATTATTATCATTCGTTTAACAAAACATCATCACATTTTGTCATTCATACTGTCAATTTGACAAGCGAACTAAACAATTTTACTCTAGTATGTACCAAACTAATTGTTACAATACTTGAGAATTAGTACAGTCGTTCAAAAGTTATATAATTAGGTTGTATCTCAGTTTATCTAAACCAATAAAATTTATTCGGAAACTGATACGTACAAATTCACTTCAGATTCTAACTCTCGATACTCACTATATCTTGTTTCGATGTGATTATATTTAGTGGTAAATTCAATAACTATAGTTTAATTTGTAAATTAGATAACCTGATTAGTTTATTTAAACTCACCACTATGTGTAGCGGTTGGATATAATTTACAGAAATTTACGCTGTCTAACTGTATGTAAGTTGATCACGACTGATGAAAGTATCCTAATCAGTTAAAGAATTGTTTTGTACATATGCAGTTTTTGATATGGATGAATATGAATAGAAAAATCTTGTATACGTAATCAAAGCTCGAATTAACGAACTTTCCACAGAAATGGTTTCAAGTTCGATAAATTGATGACTAATTTATTTGGCTGATATCATCAAAGTTGCAACAGTTAAAATACAGTGCCTAGATGTTGCTACTCGATCTATGAATTGCTACTAAACATAACATCTTTAAAGTATCGGCATATGAAATTTTATTCATTAGGAAAATGTTTTCTTCAAATTAATAAATTCACTATCAATCCTAGAAATGAATTAAAGGAGCCATTGTACAAAAGAACACTACTTGTCACGCTTTAGGTAGATGTGAAAACGTTTCGGCATACTTTTTCTAGTAAATTTAGATCAGTTGCAACGATCCCAATGAGTCTTTTCAGTAAAAACTCAATGTCTTTATTAGTCAGATTGAACACGTATATTGCTTCAAAAGTACAGAATGAAATAAAAATTTATACTGACTGACCACTGAACAATGCCCTATCTTTGTAATGCGAGTAAATTGTTACGAGACCATTCTTACTGTTTGTAATTAGCGATTCAGTGCTTTAGTCTTTTGGATTTTACATTTAAATGCTTGACATTAACTGATAAGTAGGGACGTGAGCCTAATCTTTTCTCAATTGTAACATCCATTAGAAAAAAATCAGTAACTATGTGGTTTATAAAAGTTGAGTTTTGACCATCTGTTGTTTCAGTAAAAGGGATTTCTTGATGACTGTGACCTATTGTAAAAGCGACAACAGTCTTTTGTACCGTTATACAGTTTTCATCAGTCGTGTAAGAATAATTTCATATCGAGTTTATTAGAAATAAATAAGTCATAAAAAGAAGTGTTGGCCTACGCTGTCACGCCAGGTTGTTATGCGATATAAATTTATGTAAACGAATGTTAATGCACGTAATTCTGGAGCCCAATAAAAATACCCCTTCACCCTTGTCTTATCGCTCATTAACTAATGGGGGGCTGTTAGTACCAGTCTCGGACAACCCTCTTATAACAGTTTTCAGCGTTTAGGCTTTTGCTGTGACTCATGAAGGTCTTAGGTTCAATCTCTGGTGTAGTTGTGAGTAACCTCTGCTAATGAGTTGCTTACTAGAATGAAATATTTGTCTACTGCTCATTGGCTTCCTATAATTAATAGTTTATTATGTAAAAATACAATCTCTACAACCACCTTTACTGAACAAAGTAAATAATATTTTCCAACAAAGACTAGCAGTGGAATTCAATGAACTTAGTTCGTTTTGGTGGAGCCTCTTTAACAGAATATATTTGATGAAGCATTGTATAAATGTAATAAAATTGTAAACACAGGGAATGAGACATCTGTTTATGTGATCTATTACTGGTTTATGATATCTGATCAAATGCAGACTTGAATGTTAACTACGCGGTAATGGAAACATTTATACTTGATATTAAATGTGGATTTTAAAAGAGATAAAATATTTGAATTAATGGGAACTTTTATGTTTTATTATAGTTCCAAATGTCTTGCTAATATGAAGCTTTAAACACAACTGAAACTTTAACAGATGAATTCATGAGTTGATTTAAGCTAGACCATCATGGAAAACCTAGAAGCACTGGATGGTCATTAAATATAGACTCTGAATACTGTAAAACCTATAAATTAAATTGTCAGTAATGCCACTAGTTTCATCTACACATACAGACAAATTGAAAGGCATAAATATCAGTATAATATGGATATCAATCATAGAATTATATGGTTTTCTTTTTCAGGTGGCATTTTAGTCATTCCAAGGGATATCTCATTCATAGCTGACAATATTTAAAAGAAATGCTCAAGAACTGAGAAGTTCAGATATCTGTTTTTCCACGAATCTTGTCTATATCGATAGTCCTATTTCTTTCTTGTATAACAAAAGTTAGTGTATAGAGGTAGTCAGTTGTATGAATGATAAAAAGTCACAGTTCCTAAAGTTTATTTCGCTATCTACCATAGAGTGAAGTAGTGTTGCTAACAGTAAGATTATATATATATACGTTTGTAAAAACATTTTTATTCGGATTAGCCAATAAAGCTTGCTACACACGTTTGGTCTTCACACTCAAGCAACAGGTTGGACAAGTTTATAGAAAGCCTGTATATTAGCATCAGAATCGAATAACTGTTCGACGCAACATTTATTTAGTTAGGAAATAAACTATACAGAAAGTTTAGTCGAATATTCGAAGCTTTCTTATATTGTCAGGATCTGAGTCTGTGATTGGTTATTTACTTAGGTAATATGTTTTGATTATAAAATCCTCGTCATCATCACTAGTTTACTTTTTAAACAAAATCAGTTTGAAAAGATTTCATGTTGATGTCCACATTAATTTATGACAAAAACAGAAGAATAGGTCAATAGTATAATAAAATATAACAGGATAAAAGTTCAGAAATGGGTAAGAAATTCAATTCAGAATGATAGTTTAGTACAAAACCTATTTTCACTTAAAACAGTTACAATAGATCGAATATATAGTGATAATAATTATTATTGTCATTATTAACACTATACTAAAATAAAAAACCAGGAAGCACTGCATAGCTGGAGTTGCTCAGAAACACTCATCTAGAACTCCATCGTAGAT